CTGAGAGTTGGCTATATTATCTGATTGTTTCTTCAGTCATTACTGCTGTACAGGTTTAGCTAATGGCTTAAAATAGTTTAAGGTACTCATAAAAACAAAATAAGCTGGACTGAGTTACTATTTATTCTAGATTATTAAAAAGAAAGGGCATAGTGTGTCTAAAGAAAAGGGTGAAGTTTGATCTCTTGAAATGAGTGCAGAAAAAATTTAGAAAGTCAGACTAGAACCAAGGTAAAATGGGAACAAATTGTGAGTAGTTTTATATGCCAAAGTAGGAATTTGGATTTTTATTTTGTTTATAGGTAGGGAAGTGACACAAATAGTTTGGTGGTTTAGAAAACTGATTATAGCAGTAATAAAGAGAATAGTCTGGAGGAACAGAGATTGGAGACATTTATTCATCAAATAATACATGTGGCAGGCTGAGTGAATGTGGCTGTCTCTCTGGCCTCTGGTAGGTAGATTAGTGTCAAGGATGTCATTTAAGGCTCTGCCGTAGTTCAGGAAAGAGATAATGATGGTATGAATTAAGGAATTTGTAGTGGGGATAGAAACAAGAGCACTGATTTCAGAGATATTTAGGAGTTTGTCTTCCAGACTTCGTTAGTGTTTGGAGATGATAGAGAAAGTTGAGAATGAGTCTAAGGTTTCTGACTTAGCAGTAGAATAATATGTGCAAGTTTGAGAGGGGGGGAATACTGAGTTTGCTTTCAGATAACTCTATGCTTTTTAGATTAACATGATCAAGATATCATTTGGGAATATTGTTCTAGCTCAGGAGCATGATCAGGTTTATAAATATGATTTGGAAGGCATAGTTTAAAATTGAACGTTGTGAAATTAGACAAGTAATTCCTAAGTAATAATGTATGCAGAACAAAGAGTACTGGCGCTTAGTTTGATTTTTAATTTTTGCCCACCTCCAGTCAAACCTCCACCCCCTAACATTATAAACAATACATAGAAATATTTGCTGTCAGAAATATTTGAATGTCCTTGAAACTGTACTGCATCCTGTCTGATCACCTGTACAACACAGGGAATTTGTAGACAAATGCACTTCCTTATTCCTCTCCTAAAGTCTCTTTTTAGAATCCTGTTTGCTTCCTTGGGCAAGTGAGCAAGTCTGAACAGATATTGAAGCCTAAAGGCTTTTTTCACCTTTAAAATCTAATGCAGAACAGCCATAATCAACCATCTCTTTCTCTCCTACCCCTCCAGCCCTATAGAGTTTAAGCCTCTGGCAACTAGAATGCCAGAGAGAAAAGTAAAAACAGCACAAGAAAATGAACCTTGAAAAGGACTGTAATCTTTTTAATTCACTGAACCCAAAGGGTCTACTCCAGTGATGGCGAACCTATGACATGCGTGTCAGAGGTGACACGCGAACTCATTTTTTTGGTTGATTTTTCTTTGTTAAATGGCATTTAAATATATAAAATCAAAAATATAAGTCTTTGTTTTACTATGGTTGCAAATATCAAAAAATTTCTATATGTGACACGGCACCAGAGTTAAGTTAGGGTTTTTCAAAATGCTGACACGCCGAGCTCAAAAGGTTCGCCATCACTGGTCTACTCTATAACCAGGGGATGGAGTTAGTGAGTCATTTTAAGAGATGTCCAAATTCAGTAAAATAAATACATATATTAGGAGCAAGATCTTCAACTGCTGAGAGAATTTGGAAAAAATCTGAGGTTTAGCACTTAGTGGAAAAGATGAGTTTTTGGTTCAGTCTTAAAGGAGGTAGAAAGACAAATCTGTGCAGTGAAGAGTAAGAATAACACTATTAAAGAGGTGGGGAAAACAGTATCAAGAAAGTGGGACATTAAGGAAGGAAAAAAAAGGAAACTGGTGAACAAGATTTTTATCTAAAATGCACAGTATGAGTTGGGATTAATGAGAAATTAGGGTAGTTAGATGATTGAAGACTAAAATTTGGAATTGGAATTCCTTGAAGCACATAAGTAGAAAATTAAACATGAACAGAGGAATATTGATTTAAATGGCAATTAAGCACTTAATGGAAGATGACAACTGTTACATATAGTTAATAGTGTATATGGCACTGATTAGCTTATAAATTACCCAAATCCCTATTTTCTCTTTTTGTTTTCTTACATACTTCTATAACCATGGTTCTCAGACTTTCCTGGGCATAAAAATTTTATGAAGCTCTTGTTTAAAATATAGATTCATCCATGTTACATGTAACTGTAGTTACTTCCTTTTAGTTGCTGACCAGTATTCAGTTATGTGGATATACTGTAATTTGTTTATTATTATTATTGCAGAAAGGTGTTTTTTTCCAATTTTCAACTGTTATGACTAAAACTGCTATGAACATGCTTATACAAGGCTTTTTGTGACACATGTATTCTGGATGAATACCTAAACGTGGAATTGCTGGGTTTTAGAATATGTGTGTGTTTAACATTATGAGGAACTGACAACAAATTCGAAGGTGGGTTTACCATTTTACATTTCTACCAGCAGTGAGTGTTCCTTTTATGGAAGAGTTTGGGTACAATTGCTGTTCTTCCTTAAATGTTTGATAGAATTTACCAATGAAGCCACCTGGGCCTGCAGTTTTCTTTGTGGAAAGGTTCTTAATTAAGGATTCAATTTTTAAAAGAATGATATATGACTATTCAGATCTTCTATTTCTTTTTATGCCTGTTTTGGTAATTTGTATTTTTCAAGGAATCTGCCCATTTTATCTTAACTTGTCAAATTTATCAGCTTGAAAATAAATTATATATGTTATAAAACAGTTTTCCTATTTATGTTGGTAGGATCTATTGGATGCTCCCTCTTTCATTCTGATATTGGATTCATTTTCTTCTCCCTCTCCCCTTGATTAGTCTAGTTAGGGGTTATCACTTTTATCAGTCCTTTAAAATAGTCAACTTTTGGTTCTTTCGATTTTTTTTCCTGTGGTTTATCTGTTTTGTGTTTTATGATTTGAGCTCTTTCATTAATTCTTTCCTTCATCCTTATTTTGGGTTTAATTTATTCTACTTTTTCTAATTTTTTAAGGTGAAAGCTTAGTTCATTGATTTTAAAATTTATTTTTTAAAATATCAACATTTAAAGCTAATGAAATGCATTTTCATTAGCATTTCATTCAAAATATTTTCTAATGTCGCTTGTAATTTTTTTTTTTTTGACCCATGGATTGTTCCAAAGAGTATTGTCAAATAATTTTCAAATACTTGGGATTTTCCAGGTATCTTGTTAGTTACTGTGTTTTCATTTAATGCTATTTTGGTCAGAGAACATAGTCTTTTATTTTTTAATTTATCTTTATTGTTGAAAGTATTACAGATGTCCCCTTTTATCCTCCCTTCATCTCACTCCCATCCCCCACCCAGGCCTTCACCAAACTTTTGTCTGTGTTCATTGGTTATGCACATAAGTTCTTTGGTTAATCTCTTCCCACACACTTCTCCCCTCCCACTTCCCTCTGAGATTCAGTCTATTGTATGCTTCCATGTCTCTGGATCTATTTCTGATAACATATTCTTAATACAATATTTAATACTTTTTACATTTCCTACAATAAGCATGTACTCATAGTCGGACACACCCCCCCCCAAAAAAATTACTTTAATTTTAAAAATTCTGATAAAATTCATGATTGGGAGGATAAGGGAAGAAGGATTTAGGTGATTTTAGTTTTTCTCATCTTAACCATGCCTCTTCCATTTTTGCATATATTTTAAACTGATCTTTATCAGTAAGTGAAAGAGACATTTATTTACACTGTATGTGTAATACATATTCTAAACTGTTCCCAAACTAAGGCAGTGCTCCATGTTTCATAGTTTAAAAGTGTGGTTTTCTATCAAATAATTCTTTGTATACTTAAAGATATTTAATATTTCTTTCTTTCCTTTTTTCTTTTTTTCAAAGTTGGTGTTTTTTTTTTAATATGTTCTTATTGATTTTTAGAGAGAGAGGAAGGGAGAGGGATAGAGAGATAGAAGCATCTATGAGAGAGGAACATCATAGATTGGCTGTCTCCTGCAGGTCCCCTACTGGGGATCCAGCCCCAACCTGGGCCTGTGCACTAACTAGAAATTGACCCGGCAACCTCTTGATTCCTAGGTCTGTGCTCAACTGAGCCATGGGCTCCAGAGTATTTTTTAAAGATGTTTTTGTCTTCCTTTCTCAGCCACTGTAACTACCCACCTCCTTGCAGATATGGATGTTCTTATGTTAAAGAAAGAATGGAAATCATAGTCTTTAGTTTTCTTAATAAAATATTATATTGCTGTCTCTATCCAGGGCATCATAGGCATATGGACCTGGTACTCTTCAAGAACTCACTCTAGTGGCTCAGCTTCACATTTTTTGCTATATAAAGAACATATTAGAAATCCAGTGGAGAAAGTTAATATTCAAAAGAAGAGACAAAGGAATGTTATGGTCAATGAACAAAGAAATAGACATCTCCAGGGAGGTGCCATTCATAACAGACCTCAAAGAATGACCTTAACTTGAATAGTCTGGTGTCTGTTCCTCAGCAATTGTAGATCTAGAAACTCAGTTTGATCAGGGGAACTGGTTTCATGCTAAGCAAATTACTGAAGACTCATGGAAAACAAAGCTAATTTCTTAATTTAAGTTAAGATATAATATCCAATCATGATGGTTTGTTGGTCCACATCTTCACTATAGGGCTATATCTACCAAAGGTATGTGAACAGTTGGGTCCACTGATGAGAGTGTTTTCCTAAAGGCTTAAGACAGTGGCACATTCTTTGATTACCTTATTTTTAGGCTTTGTAAAATATTCTGTAGCTGTGGGACATTTTCTGAACCTCCAGAGCCTCAATTTTCTCATCATGACAATTGTGATAATAACTAGCCAAGTCATAGGATTGTTGTGAGAACTAAATAAGAATCTATTTAAAGTTACTAGGACAACATCTAGCACATAGTTGTCATTCAGGAACTGTTAAGATGATTTGTTTTTTTCTACTTCTGGGTTTTAGGTCTGGAAGTTAAGAAGGGCACTCTTGACCTTTTTCTTGCTGCCTGCAGACATTGCTGGGAACTCTACTGCACTTGGTGTTCTAGAGGTACTAAGAGTATTTGATTTACAAGAATATTGTTCTGAGTCATAAGAATTAACTCAATCTAGGGAAGAACTGCGATGAATCTTTTCATAGGTTATGTTTTACTGTGAGTTCTAGCCATTTTAATATTTTGAGACTAAAGTAAGAATTGTTCTTTTAAAGAATTCATTAGTGTTTGCTTTTCCTGTTTGGCATTTCTAAAAACAGTTTGATATTTCTTGTAGAACAAACAAGTAAAGTCCAGATAACAAATTTTATAAGTTGTTTTACTCATAGCTGACAACTTAGTAAGGTTTATGTTCTATGGATAATATTTCTAATTTTTATATTAATAGATCATGATGTTCTAAAGGACCTGATTGATTCCCTTTCTTTCAGATAAGCTTACTAAGACCCAGAGAACCAGCCTGAAACTAAGCCAGACAGCTGATGCATCATAGGGGGTCCCTGGGACTGTGAGGTGCCAGTGCAGCTGGGCCCAGGACAGTGAGGCCCTTGATACAAGAGTTTGTGCTCTGGAGGAGGCCAGGAGAACAGCCACATGGTTGTGAAAAGATGGAATTGAATTCAAATAGTGAACTTGCCATAGGCCTGAGTTGCAGAATTCCTTCTAGAAGGAGCCCCTGCCTGTCCCTTCTTCCTTGCTTAGCCAAATCCAAAGCAGCGGTGAATGAACAAATGTCCTTTTTGTGTCAGGTACCTTGCCTACTAACTATACACTGGGGAGCAGTTGAAACATACCCGAGAGTTTTTAATGGCAGAGCTGAGACAGGCCTCTAGACTCCAGTACATTCTTCTTTTCACTGTATTCCAGTGTCTCTCAACATCAGATGAAATTATTTTCTCTTCTGAGTTACCAGAATGTTTTGATGTCTGGTTAGATGTTATTCTCTAATTGTTGTACATAACAGTTTTTTATTTACAGTTCTGGTGTCTATCTCATGAGTCTGTATTGTCTCCTCAGCTAAGTCCTTGAGGACCTGTACCATTTTGATCTCTTTTGTATGACCCTTAGGGCTTGGAATATTTAAGTACTCAATAATTAACTTGTTTAGCAGTAGATAAATATTTGTTGTCAAATTTTCATTGCCCCAAGCTTACATATTAACATATTTTCAGCTGTAGAAACAGCTGGATTTGCTACTTAAAGCTCATATCCCCAGAAGATTAAAGATTGAAAAGTTATAAAAATGCTGTTGTCATTTAAAAGGAGTTGAGTGCTTCTACAGATAACTTACATTTAATGTTTAGAAACTAGGACACAGTTAGGGATGGTGAGGTTGGTTACTTATCTAAATAAATGGCTTTGGTCATATGGTTGTGTTTTGTTTCTTAAAACTCACAATCTAAGATCTAACTTTTATGGCAGCCACCCCAAAATACATATAGTTATAGAGAATACTTTCTTGAATTATAATCCTTTGTGTGTTTTGGTAGACTCGTTTATTTTTGGGGACACACACACAAAAAGAAATATTTTATACCTGCTTAGGATGGTTTGCTTAGTACTTGGTCCCAGTCAGCATTTTCCACCCCCCAGCTTTATTGAGGTATAATTGACAAATAAAAATTGTTAATATTTAAGATATACAACATAATGATTTGATACACATATACATTGTGAAATGATTATGACAAACAAGTTAATTTACATAGCTATTACCTCACATAGTTATACCTCCCCCCCCCTTTTTTGGTGACAACATTGAAGATCCGCTCTTAGCAAATTTCAAGTATACAATGCAGTACATTAACTATAGTTAATGCCATATATTAGGTCCCCAAGAAATATTCATCTTATAAGTGAAAGTTTATACCCCTTGACCAATATCTCCCCATTCCCCCTCCCCCCTCCCAAACCCTAGAGAAATGAAAACTTGTATTCACAGAAAAACTTGTACATAAATGTTTTAACAGTTCTATTCATAATTGCCCCAAACTGGAAATAATCCAAGTGTCTTTCAACAGGTGACTAGATAAATAAATTGTAGTGCAGTTAATCAGTGGAATACTATTGAGCAATAAAATGAATGAATTATTGACACATGCAACAGCTTGGATGAGTTTCAAAAGCATTATGCTGAGTAAAAGAAGCCAGTCTCAAAAGGTTACTTACTGTATGATTCCATTTATATGGCATCAGTGGTTGTCATGGGTTAAAACAGGATAGTTAGGGGTTAGGGGTATGACACAAATGGGTAGTATAAGGGATTTTTGTTTTGTTTTGTACCACTTTTTTCACTTCCTGTCTTATTTTGAGTTATTTGAATAGTTTTTAGTATTCCATTTTATTTTATCTATTGTGGGGTTTTTGTTTTTTTTACTATATCTCTTTCTAGTGTCTATGTGTGCATGGTTGCTTAGGGATTATAATATACATATTTAAATTTTCATAGTCTACTTAGAATAAATATTTTTCCACTTGAGTGGGATGTAGAAGTCTTAACACTATTTATGTCTCTTTACCCTCCTCCTTTTTTATTTTATTTTCTTATATATTACTTCTACATACATAGAACACCCCATCAGACATTATAGTTTTTGCTTTTAACCGCCAAACATTCAAGAAGAGAAAAATAATTTATTATATTTACTCAGATGGTTATAATTTCTTTGTTCTTTCTTCATTACTAATGTTCCATTTTTTCCTTTGGCATCATTTTCCTTCTACCATTTAGTAATTCTTTTAGAGTATATCTGCTGGCCATGAATTCTCTTAATTTTACCTTCATCTGAGAGTGAATATATCTGAAGAATATATTCACTGGATATAGAAATTCTGTGTTGACAGTTCTTTTCTTTAGGTCCTTTAAAAATATGCCATTTCTTTCTGCACTTTGTGGTTTCTGGTGAGAAATTTAGATTCATTCAAATTGCTGTTTCCCTATTAATAGTATGTTTCTGTGTGTGTGTGTGTGTGTGGGTGTGTGTGTGTGTGTGTGTCTACTTTCCAAGTTTTCCTTTGTCTTGAGTTTTTATCAGTTTGACTATGATGTGTCTGGGTATGGGTTTCTTGGGGGTTTGTTTTTTTTTTGGTCCTCTGAGCTTCTCAAATCTGTATATATGTTGTGTCACCAAGTTTGAAAACTTTAAAAGTCATTATTTTCTTAAATACTTTTGTGCATTCCACTCTTCCACTCTCCTTTCAGGATGCCAGTAACACCAACATTAGGCCTTTGTTATCCCAAAGGTTCTTGAGGCTCTTTTCATGTTTTGTTCTATTTGATGTTCAGACTAGATCATTTCTATCAATCAGTCTTCAAGTTCACTGACTTCCTTTTATCATCTCCATTTTGCTTATTGAGACTTGAAGTGAATTATTGTATTTTTCATTTTTCAAATTTCCATTTGGTTCTTTTCCTTTGCTGAGTCTCTCTATTCATTTCAAGAATGTTTGCCCTTCTTGGAGCATTTTTGGTAACAGCTGCTGTAAGATCTTCATCAGGTAATTCCAACATTGCATCATCTCAATGTTGATGTCTGTTTATTGTCTCCTGCAAGTTGGGACAAATGATGTATTCACAGAAGCCATAGACCCTCTCAATAATTTTGTCTCTTGATACTTCTATGAGGTAATAGTTGCTGCCACTTTTTATTTTTTTGATTGGGCATACATGGTTGTTTTTAAAACTATAAGTTTTCAAAAATAATACATGATATTACAGAAAAATAAAAGAATACTACCTTCTTGCGTAAAAATTAAAACAAACATAAGGAGCACTGATTTTTTTCTGCCTCACTCATATTTTTAACTCTTCTTTGATAGGAAAGGTATTTGATCATCAAATACCAGGTTCCTATTATAGGTAGATGCTGTTCAGCTATGACAGCCACTTGTAAAAGGATACAATGTGTGCAGGCAGATAATAAAAGTAAAATGTATTATAATCAGATGCTCATAGTTATACTATAATTCTTTGACCTCAGTTTACTTTAAACAGCAGGTATTCCAATCTTTACCTCAGCCAGACATTGCCAAATTATATGTATGCTCTTCTTTGTTGTCCAGATTCCTCTCCCTTAACTATCACAGGAGTCCTAATTTTTTCTTTCTGCCAGGTATTATTTCTTCTAGTCCTCAGCATGTACAGAAATACTAGTTTGCCTTTCTCTTATAGAACTAAGTTTCTCTCCCTCACCATAGCTTAATCCATACTGCTTTGTTTTCTGACTGAGGCATTTGGATCTTCTAAAATATGCGGAAGATCATCTGAATTCATAGTCATTTAATACTAGAGGCCCGATGCACGAAATTCGTGCAAGAGTAGGCCTTCCTTCCCTCGGCTGCTGGCACTGGTTTCCCTCTGGCACCTGGGGCCCGGGCTTCCCTGCGGCTGCCAGCAGGCACCCAGGACCTGGCTTCCCTCGCAGCCCCAGCTTCATCTGGAAGGTCATCCTTCCAGACCTCTGGTCTAATTAGCATATTACGCTTTTATTATTATAGATGACCAAGTACAGGAGTAAACATCTTTTTCAGCATGGCATGGAAGAAGACTCTTTAAGTCTGTTTTTCCAGCTTTGGGGTTGCTTTTTCTTTTACTTCATTCCACCTACCTTATACGTCAGTCATCTGAACCACTCCTCATCCTTTGGAAAGTCAGACCCTTTCCTGCATCTGTGCCTTTACATTACCTGCCTGAAACTGAAATGCCTTTCTCCACTTGGCAAGTAACTATTCATTCTTCAAAACCTTGCTCAACATCACTTTTTCTGTGAAGCCTTCCCTGACCCCCTGCATTCGTTAGAATTATGTACAGTGACAAGTAACTGAACCACCAAAATAACAATGACCTTAAAAACAAGAGAGGATTTATTTTTCTCCCATAAAAATTTGGAATTTGCGGTGTAAGGCTGAAATGACAGCTCTTCACAAAATCACTAAGGAAGTAGTTTCCAATAACTGCTTCAGAATCTCTCATATCTCTCAGACCTTTGTCCTCCTGGCCCAAAGTTGAGGTATCTTTGTTTTAAGCAGCATGAGTATGAAGGAACAAAAATGAAAG